ACTATCCACAAGTTAAGCCAGAATTTTTCTTGTGTAGGTTTTCCTCCGGGAGTCCTTGGAACACAAGTTAGAGAAACAGCGAGAGGTGGAAGTCACCAAGGCAGCAATGATTATCCGAGCACACATCTTAGGTTACGCAGCCCGGTGAGTGACTGGATGGGAACGACACTAATTAAACTTTTGTACAAATGGGTGATAAAATTCCTTGGACACAATTCTTCACTTTTTGTAGGAACCAGGCATCCGAATCCTGTAAGTGGCTTTTGAAGATAACATTTGATATCCTTAGCAGACTCATGAATTTAAAAAAAAGATGGAGTTAGAGTTATTTTGATATAATGAATAGGACAGTATGGAAGACTGGAGGTCAGCCATCCTTGTAATGGTATGAAATAAGTGGTAGAAAATCTAGCACAATGATACCTAATGGGGCTGCCCCCAAATTATGCATATTTATCTTTGCTTTTTCATGATAGAGAGCAAATACAACTAGTCGGTTTGGTTCTTTAAGAACTAAACATTAGGTAAGTGATTAATGTTTCATTTGTTTACTCAGCTTCCTGCATTATATATTAGGTGGAGTTTCTCATCCCATCTGTTTATTTCTCTGCTTTTTCTACAAATCAGCTGAGGACAGTTTGAGGAAACTTGTTTGCATAATGTAGTCTTCTCCTTATATTCTGACTAATATGTTGCTCAAGAACTGTATTCATTTTTAATGACAGAGCTACCTGTGCATGATCTTTCTTTTCAGAGATGTTGGACAGATACCTATGAGTATCTTCTCTGCATGCATACACGCATGTACAAGCTGTACTTGGTAGCATTTTCTTGTCAAGGACACAAGAACGTGTAAGACAGGTAGTGTGCATTTCCTTAACGAAAATACAGATTGCTCTGTCATGGAAATGAGGGCATCTCTTCCCTTTCCTGGGGAAGAGAATGTGAATTAGAATGGAGAAACCACCAGAGAGGTAGAAAAAATAAACTGCTTCACTACCGTGCCTCATTATTGCAGGTCACTATGACTATGATAGGTCATAGTGACCTCATAACTGCTCATTAATCCTTTGTTTCCTTATAAATTTACTCTATTTTGTGACGTTTTTGTCCTTTTTTGTTTTGTTTTGTTTTTCCAGAAAGAGGTATAGAAAGGTTCTATACTATGTGGTTGTGATACAGAAGAACTACAGAGCATTCTCTGTTAGGAGAAGGTTCCTTTGCCTGAAGAAGGCAGCCATTGTTCTTCAGAAGCAGCGGCGAGGCCAGATTGCTCGACGTGTTTTCAGGGAAAGGCTAGAGGAGAAGCGGAGACAAGAGGAAGAAAGAAGAAAAGAGGAAGAGGAAAGGTGCAGTATGTTCCCTTGCATCACACTCCATTCCATGTTAGGTTTTACTCTGAATAGACTTTCTTGCAGGTAAAGCCAATTGATTTTGGAATTCTGTGCTTCTTTTATTAAAAAAAAAAAAAAAAAGTAGTTACATATTCACAGACATATTCTTTGTGACCTTATTTTTGGCTGTCTTTCCTGTGGCAGATGATTGAAAACTGAGCTATTGCCCTAGCACAGGATTTGATTATCATGTATTGAGATTGATTTGCTAACTATTTTCTTCCCTCACTTTTAGGGAAAGACAAAGGCAAGAAGCAGAGCGTCTTGCTCAGCAGGTAAATGATATTCTTAATACTTGCAGCCATCCTGTTTATTTGAGTATCTCAACCCAACCATTAAAAAAAAATAAAAGACATCTGTGGTGTTTGAACAGAACTTTTTGTTAGCAGGTAAAACCAAAGGAAACTTGATACAGTTGTTTGCATGGGAATTTCTTTCACCTCATGCTTCATTTAATTTCTGGCAAAGACAGAACTTTCTTCACATTCCTGAGCTTTTCAGTATTTCTGAGTAAATGCAATCACTCTTTTATTTTTCTTTTTCTTTCGTTTTCTTTCTGATGTAGGGACAAGGGTTCTTTTAAATAAATAGCATGATCAGAGTATAGTGCTTACAAACTACAAAATAGTCTTGCATTGAGAAGACAGTATTATATTTTCTTCTGTTTTGAATGCAGGCTGAAGAGGAGAGAAAGAAACAGGAACTGGCTGCCATTCAGAAAGCCCAGAAGGAAGTGGAGCTGAAGCAAGAGGTGGAGAGGCAGAAAGAAAGCAGGCAGGTAGAAGAAATCTTGCGTTTGGAAAAAGAAATTGAAGACCTGCAGCGTGTGAAGAAGCAGCAGGAGCTGTCTTTGACCGAGGCTTCGTTACAGAGGCTGCAGCAACTCCGAGATGAGGAACTCAGGCGGCTCGAGGACGAAGCTTGTCGAGCAGCCCAGGAGTTCCTGGAATCTCTGAACTTTGCTGAGATCGATGAATGTGTCCGAAACATTGAGAGGTCGCTCTCTGTGGGCAGTGGATATCCTGCTGAGCTCACTGAACAAACTGGAAATGCCTGCAGTGAAAAGCCCAATTTTAACTTCAGCCAGCCATATCCCGAGGAGGAGGTAGATGAGGGCTTTGAAGCTGATGATGATGCATTTAAGGATTCGCCCAATCCAAGTGAGCACGGCCATTCTGATCAGAGGACCAGTGGCATCAGAACAAGCGATGATTCCTCAGAAGAGGATCCGTATATGAATGATACTGTGGTGCCAACAATTCCTGCTGCTGGCGACACCATGCTTATACCTCCTACCCATGATACAGTCAGTCTCCACAACTCTTCAAGTGGTGAATCTACATACTGCATGCCAGAAAATGTATCGTGCAGACCACCGGACTCTGTGGAACTTATTTCTCCAGATGGAGATTATGATTATGACCAAGATGATTACGAAGATGGTGCTATTACTTCTGGTAGCAGTGTGACCTTTTCTAATTCGCACAGTAGCCAGTGGTCACCGGACTATCGGTGCTCAGTGGGGACATACAATAGCTCTGGAGCATACAGGTTTAGTTCTGAAGGAGCTCAGTCTTCTGTAAGTATCATTCCTTGTATTATCTAATAATTGATCGTTCCTTGTATTATCTAATAATTGATTTATGCTTTCTGATTTTTTTCCACTGTACAACCATGCAGTCACTGTAGCTGTTGTTAGAAATGCTTGTATTACATAATTCAACTTATTTACGCTGCATATGGGCATAGTTAAGTGTTGACTGCAATTCTAGCATTATGCAAGGGTATGGTTCTGTGTAGTTTAATGCAGAACTGCGTATTATTGTATGAAGATCTCAGTGCCTGGCCATGGATGCAGTTCATAAGCAAAATTTTGTGTGTCCATTGGAGTGAGAGGATTGGGTAGCATTGTGGGGAACTGATTTTGGAAAAGGCAGATTCAGTTCTGCATGTAAGTAAGAACGGTTGAATAAACTGCTTGCAGAAATCCCCAAGATGTCAGATGTATTTGAGATTAGTTCAAGGGTAAATTTCAGATGATGGCAAACAGTAGAATTACTGAAGCAGTTAATTGAAGGGCTCTTTTTTCAGTGCTGTTCACTGAATTGACAGTTTGCTCTCATGAATATTTTTGGAAGAATATGATTTCTTCCGCCACTCACAAAATACTTCACTGAAACTGGGTGTCTGGGAAAGTGAAAACACATTTCAGCAACACTGACTTCTTTAGAAGGAAGATGTTAGCACTAAAATATCTGCTACAGCTCAGGTAATAAAAGCCAAAGAAATTGTGTTCATTCAATACATCATAAAATGCTTTAGCTGAAGACTTCTAAACCTGTTTTCTCTAAGCTCTTTCCTGAGAAATCATTTTACTTTTGTTCCTTTCTTTCATAGTTTGAAGACAGCGAAGAAGATTTTGACTCCAGGTTTGACACAGATGATGAACTTTCCTACCGGAGGGATTCTGTCTATAGCTGTGTTAGCCTGCCCTACTTCCACAGCTTTCTGTACATGAAAGGTACTGGATGGACAAGAATTTGTTAAACACACAAACTAATCAGAAATATTTAATAAACCTTGTATGCTAATTCTGGTAGACTTCAGCTATTTTCAAAATTTTGGAAGGCTGATGGAAAAGTCAGGAGAGAGCTGCTCTCAAATGAAGTTCCTTGCAGTACCTTACATCTGGCAATGTTTTTCCTCTCTGCAAAGAAACATCTAAATTTTTTGGCTGCCTCTGTTTCGTTTTATATCCTTGCCGGCTTGTAAACAATGGAATATCCAAAACAAAATTAGCAAAATATCTCGCAAAGTCAAACTGTAACAAATTTTGAGGAAAGCTTATTCCTGCTATCAAAACCTTGTACCAGGGACAGTGTTCTCTGCTGCAAACCAGTTTTACTGAGTTCAGTAAACTTTCCTTTGCGTTCTGAAAGAAAGAAAGGAAGTGTATGCATAGCAAAGGGACATAAGAGACTCTACAACAATATACTGAGGAGTTCTCTGGTTAAGATTCTTGGACTTGTAATGGTCAACGCAAAATTATAATGTAGGTGAAATCTCGTATCGTTCTCATCACTAGCATAACTTAGTTTGTTGGAGTAGGAGTAGGGATGAACAGGTGCATGGGTACACTGATGTGAAAAGTGATGTATGCTGTCATTGCTAGCATGGTTCTTACCCTCTGACACAGTTAGCAATAAGGATTGACAAGAATATACTGGTTTGGTTGAGTTTTTTTGTAGCTCAGGTAACAACAATGCAAGCTGTATTGTGTAATTAAACAAAATCACAGAAAGTTTATGCACAGCATTGCTACACTTTGGTATGACCAAGCTCACACTGGCATATGTGCCTCTTAAAGTATGGTTCTTGTAGGTTTTTCCAAATATTCTGGTTTTGAGTTGAACATTTACCTCCTAATAACCATAGATACTGAAGAAAACTTTATTGTAAGTTATTATATATAGGTACTGTATATGTGTGTATCAATATACACTGTATATTTGTATACATTTGTTACATTATTTTTGTAGTATATCTATTATTATAATTTGTAATTTAAGATTCTTTAGATTATCAACTATATGGTAGCTTTAAGGATATGCAAGAATTAGATCTTTCATTTCATGTCTTGCAGCAGAGACTTAACTGCAGTACGTTGGCCAGCATCTCCTAGTGTTGGTTGGTCACAACTTCTCTTTTATAATGTAATTGTTTGTCTTAACTATGCATGAACCCATGTCTATTCCTTTTTGCCAGGTGGCTTAATAAACACATGGAAACGACGCTGGTGTGTCCTGAAAGATGAGACCTTCCTGTGGTTTCGCTCCAAGCAGGAAGCACTCAAGCAGGGTTGGCTTCACAAAAAGGGGGGCGGATCATCCACTCTTTCCAGAAGGAACTGGAAGAAACGATGGTTTGTTCTCAGGCAGTCCAGGTTGATGTACTTCGAAAATGACAGTGAAGAAAAGTTAAAGGGTTCTATTGATGTCAGAACAGCAAAGTAGGTTTATATATGTTTATATACTACATGATATCCTACTAAATACTTCTTGGGAGTTATCTGGGAATACACTGAGTGCTCTGCTTTCTAACTGTAGAAATGGAAGCATGAGTGTGTTTGATGAAGATCTTGAAAGCAAGTGTTGTCCTTACTTGGCTCTCTTTTAAGTCCATGGAGTGCTGCAGTTAAGGCAGTGCCAAGTACTTCAGAAAGCTGCTGCTGTAGTGAACTCGTCTGTGCCTTCTCCCAGACAAGAAGCCCTACTTAGTCTGTAATGATTCTCAGGGCAACTCAGAGCACGATGCCAAGTCTGTAGCTGGAGGCAAACACAAATGGAGAGGGTGGAATTAATAGGCAATGAATATATATTTAAGTTAGCATGAGTCAAAGCTATATGTTTGGTAGATATTTATGATTTTTTACGTTTGAAACAATTAGGGTAGTTCTACATGAAGGTCTTCAAGATGCATAAATGCATTTCAAAAATTTAGAATTGCTGAATCAAACTTAACAATTTCTGTCTTGCTAACAGAAGTGTCTTATGCCTTAAAATTCTATGCTTGATATAGTATGCATCAAAAAGTTTTTTAAGGGATAGTATTTTTAAACAGTCAACATGTTTTATGATTCAGTGGATCTAATTTAAAAATTAAAGCTTGCTAATATTGATAGTCTTGTTTCTGTATAAGGATACATAAGCTTTCCTCCTTGGTACAGAAAATAGAAATGGCTGTAACACTTGATTCCAGGCAGCATCTTGTAAACTGCAGCTGTGCATTTTATTTTTATCTACCAGAAATAAATTGAAAGTGAGTTTAATCTTTTATTTGGAAGTCTTGGTTGAGCATGATTCAGGCAGGACAACGCAAATAGTTTCAAGCAAGCATCCTGACTTGCTCTTGTGAAAACAGCGCGCTACTGGCTCTCAAGAAACTCTGAATAGAGAGTAAATTTCCTACCGCTATTGTTTTTGATTGAAACTGAATTGTTTCTGTCCCGTATGCCATAACGTGTATTTAGTCCTTTTTCTAACGTGCTCAAACCAAATTTTGTTGTCACTGCATGGTTTCATCAGCTGTTCCCTGGGGAAGCTCTCTGCTGAACGTTCCTTTAAAAGAGTCGGATAACAGTTGTTGATCCTAACTTGAACTGAAAGTTGAGTCAAAGATTTGTACATAAAACAGCTGGAAGAAAGGGCACTTGTATTTAAGGTTATGTATGTTAGCACAAATAGGCGTTAGCTTTTCTATGTAATTTGAATACTGATTATATTCCTAACATACCACGTGAGATACATTTCAGCATTCCGTATTAGCCTCCCATTCCAATTTTATTAATATGGTGCTGCTTCACTTAAAATACACAACACGGAAGTACTGGAGGAAGGAAGACAAATTAAGGAAAACAATACAGAAAAATAACATTTTGTGTCTTTTTAATCCTCAGGAGCTTTCCCTTAAGCACTCTAAAAATCACCTGAATTCAGTTATTTTTGCCTGGTTTGATAATGCTTTTTCTTTAGCTTGTGTTACAACAATAGAGTAGCCACCTTTGTATAGTGGCACTCATAATAGCTTCATTATTTGAGTATAGACTGAAAACATGGCAGTTGTAGTTTGGTGTATAAATACTGCCTGATATCTCAAATTAATCAGGTGCAACAATTCTGATTGCTGTTGTTTCCAATGTCTGTGAGTCTCTCAGCACAATAGCATTTCCAAAATGTGTTGGCAGTGTCTAATGTGCAGTCTTGTCATTTGCTTCTTTTCAGAGAGATTGTTGATAATACAGGCAAAGAAAATGGTATTGATCTAATAATGGGTGATAGGACCTATCACTTGATTGCTGAGTCTCCTGAGGATGCAAGGTATGGAAATCATCAGCCTTTTTTGTTCTGCTTTTTAGCTTCCATGCCATTCTGACTTGTGCTTATCGTTTTATTAGCCTGCTATCACCAAATAGCCAGAGTGTGTTAAACACATTGCATTGAACACTTTTTCCAAGGTCCTGCTGATATAAGAAAATCTCATGGCAGAATATGGCAGACTCAGACTCTCAGTAAGTCAGACTCAGTGAAAATTTCCCTAGAAGCTGGCTGTGTGCTTTCCCTGTTTTTAGACACTTAATGAAATACAATATGTATGTAGAGAAGTAATAGCTGGCTTTTAATGATTTTCTTTTGCATTATCCTGCTGCATTTAGCTGCATAGATTAAATCAATATTTAAGATTCCTCTCAGTTACCTGAAATAAAGAACCATTTAGAGGTGAGATCTGTCTACCTAAGCAGAGCCTAAGTATTTTTCAGATAAAAGTTGCAGTGGGATCATTAGATTTTAGGATGAATGCATATTCAAGAACAAGGGGAGCATACAACAGTGTTGGCTTTTCTACCAATTCAAAAAAAGATCTTACTTTTGCTGCTACCATATCAAATGGTAGGGGAGGGCTGCTAGGTGAGGAGCAGGCTTAACTTGTCAGATCAGTTCTAGTGTATATCTAATAAATACATAAAGTAATCCCCACACTATTTGTTTTGAGATAATAACATGCTTGCCTATAAAATCAAACATTTGAATGAAGTTAACTTAGTAATCAAATCTTATTACCCATTGTGTTGCTGCCCGAAGGCCTGAGCACAGAATGCCTATGCCAACATTACTTGAGCTAGTTTTGTTCTGAAGCCTTGGAAGTTGCTTCGTTTTTCATCTTTTTTCTTTTTTTTTAATTAGAATACCTTCAGGTATCATATTACCCTGAATAAAAATTCAGCAATGCTTACAAGGCAGTCATTGATTGATTTTTCAGCATCCTTAAAACCACACTTCAAAAAGTAATTCAGCACTCATTATGATTCTTGTGTGATGTGAGTAAATTTTAAAGGGAAAGATTAGCTAAAGTCTTACCTATTAGACACGTGTACATAACCCAGTAAGTGCTTTGTAGGGATCAGTAAGGAATTGCCAGAATGAAGACTTGTGTCTGCTGTCATGAATCTCTTTTTTCCTAAGTGTGGAGGAGACACTGTATGCTATTTTTGTGTACAGTACACATAATACACCATCTAGATTAAATTATGTTTTAGCAATGTGTTCCATGTTTTCTTTTTTTCATATTGATCTTAGAAAACTTTAATGTGAGAAACGTGCAAGGATTTCCAGATGGGCTCGACTCAAAGCCTTGTTAATGTTTGGCAGTGTTAAAAGTACAAAATTATTGGACTGTGTTAGTTCTGGATCTGCTATGGAAAAAAATTATTTTGCACATGGGCTAGATGATCATCTGAGGTTGCTTTTTGTTCATATGAAAAGAAGGGAAAAGAAAAAAACCTGAACCCTTCCAAAAGGGAATTACTTTTTCAATCATGATCACGGCGTACTTGAGAAGTAATGTTTCAGGGGTTAGCCACTGTTTCAAAACCCTCGTCTGTCTTTGTCCTTATTCCTGAGTTCTGCTACTCAGCTGAAAGCCAAGGGATGTCCCAGGGGGAAGAAAGTAAAAGGAGAGTAAAATCTGCCTTTGTCTTTTTGCCAAGAGCTGTGATGGATTTATTTTTCATTGCTTAGACAAAGATTACACAATGACATTAGGAAACCTCCAAATTGTTCTTTAAAATTGAATAATAAATTATTACTAATTGTGCATACAGTGCTATGAAGGCCTTTTTGTCATTTATATCAAGACTGACATTTAAATACATTTGCAGTTCCTGAGCCTAATGGAAAATTTAATTTGTGGGAATCTTCAGATAGATGAGTCTTTAGTTTCTTTGACTGATAGCTCTTTCTCTTCAGACAACTTTCTCCTCATTTTGAGGGGTCTTCAGTAACCTTGTCTCACATAAGTAAGTAAGTGTAAAGCCTTTCTGTGCATATCTCCAAGTCTTAACAAATGAATCAAAACTAAAAACATTCTCATTTTTTTCTCCTACAGTCAGGCACTCTGAATCTTCCTTTTTCTTTCCTTTTCTTTATACTTTGTGTTATTCCTAATGAAAACATATTCTGTTGGAAAGGACTTGGGATGATAATGGCAGTGGTGGAACCTTTTGACAGACTACACATTTTCTCAAACAATTTTGGCAGTTCAGTTTCAAGATGTCTACATTATGGAAACCAGTTGCTTCTGAATGCTGGAGTTAAGGAGGCAGCATTTCAGTTTCATAGCCATAATTCTTTGACTACAATGGCAGGTAGTTTTACATTTAAGGCCATTAGTTTTGCATTTGTTTTCTCAACCTGGTGATGGTGAACCCTCTGCACAGAAGTGAGTACTGAGTTTTAAAGGTTGGGCTTTTGAGTCCTTTGAAAACTCAGCCTCAGGTAGTTTTCATTGGAATGGCAAATTCGTATCTCAAACAGTGGCATTCAGGAACCTGCTGAACAAGTCAAGCTCTGCCCTCAAATTTCTTTCAGTGGAATTGCTTAGAGCAGTTGAGCTTTATCGTATGCAAATGCCAGAATGGTAGAGATTTCCCAGAAGCAGAAGGTGTGGTTGGAATTAAATCCCTCTGCAACTGCTGCTCAGCACCGAGGCCAGAGTACTGGGAATCTCTCTCCCAGTTTTCCTGTTGTGGAAATGTAAGGCTACTGGAGTGGTGCAAATTGGTTCTGGTTCAACCGCATGGGTCCTTCCAGCTGCTGGATTTTCCAATGCTCCATTGGGAACAAGAACTGTAGAGGTAGTTCCTTGGGGTTTCTGTTCTTTTTCCTCTCTGGACTGTAAGGACATGCTGTCCTCTTGGCCTTTGCAGAGGTATTGTAAGTATTGTGTAAGTTGTCACGCTATCAGAGTAGCAGAATTTATAATCTGAAGGTTGGATTTTCCATTGAAGGCTTTGTATGTAGCTAGCAGTGGTTGGGTTTTTTTCCAGATGAAATGTGTATAATGTATTACTAATACTTGCTTAACCCTCAGATGTTTCAGTGTGCTCAGTGCCACTTTTCTGCCACATCTTATGCAAGGTATTTCTCTTCAGGAGGAAGGGTATGACATAAATTTGGATAAGAGATCGGGAGGGGCTTGTTTGTATCCAGTAGTACCTGAACTGACATAAAGCTTTGCTGCTTGTATGCATGTTGACAAAAGGAATCTTAAGCAATTTCAAAAACCAGCAGAACCTGCTAGATCTCTGCAGAACAATGGTGACAAAAGGCATGTGCACAAGGGATGTGTTTCTTACACTACTGCCTTTCTCTCCACAGCCAGTGGTTTAGCGTTCTGAGTCAAGTCCATGCATCCACTGAGCAAGAGATCCGAGAGATGCATGATGAGCAGGCAAACCCACAAAATGCGGTGGTAAGTCAACATCTGAAGA